ACTCCCCATGGTTTATATATAACCTGCCTTTGGTAGAGAACCTATAAAGCATTTATGATCAGAAGAGATGAGTGTACTTTAATGGCAGAGAAAAACATTTTTATGGCTTGTTAGGCTGGCTTCTCACTGATACAGTGGAAAACTCAGAATGTATGATATTTTAAAGTCCATGACCATGCTTTCTGTAAGTAGTTGAGATTTCCTTAACATTCCATTTCCTCACTAATAAATTTCCTTATCTATCAGTCAGGGTTCCTAGACAAGGTCAATCAAATCTACAGCTGCTTTAGATTTAGAAAGGATTTACTAAAACATTTTAGAGTGTGTAAAGAGAACAAAGTTTGAGGTAGCTAGAGAATCAAATACTGACATTGAATAGCTGTAATACTATTTTGGGAGATAAAAGCTGCACCCCATATTTATTTTGCCTTCTTTCTGCTTTGTGAGGCAAAAGCCTGTAAATCTGTCAGAGCTACAAACCACAAACCAGCTTGGCATGCTGATACCTTGATCTTGGAGGTCTAGCTTGCAGAAAGGTGAGAAATAAATTTTTGTTGGCAATAAATTATCCAGTTTACATGACTCTGTTGTAGCAAGAGCCTGAACTAAAACCATGTCTGGTTCCAGATCCTGCCCTTACCATTTAATAATTGGAAACTGGAGTGAATCAATTAACTGCCCTGTACCTCAGTTTCATTATAAGTCAAGCAGATTAGTTGGGTGCTGGTGGCTCACGCCTGTTATCCTAGCTACTGAGGAGGCTGAGATCTGAGGATTGAGCTTTAAAGCCAGCCTGGGCAGAAAAGTCTGTGAGACTCTTATCTCCAATCAACCACCAGAAAGCCAGAGTGGCTGGTGGCTCAAGTGGTAGAGCCCTAGCTGAATGACAACACCCAGGCCCAGAAGTCAAGCCCCATAAACCACCAAAAAAAAAAAAAGAAAGAAAGAAAAAAGTCAAGCAGATAGAAATACCTCACTGAAGCATTGTGAATATTAGGTTCTTATAGTGATATAATGTAAAACATGTAGTATTAGTTTTATCAGGCTGATGTAAATAAATATCACACACTGGGTGGCAGAAAATTGCATATTTTATTGTCTATACATTTTTAAGAATAGAACTCCAGATTCAAGATGTCAGTAGGTTTGTTTTCTTCTGAGGCCTTGGAAGGAATCTGTTCCATGCCTCTCCCAGTTTCTTATGGTTTGCTGACAGTCTTCACTTCTGTGGCCTGTAGAAACATGAATCTCTTTATTACAGTCATATAGCATTGTCCGTGTGTGGTGTCTCTGTTCAAATTTCCTTGAATTCAGGGCCTGGATACTATCCCTAAGCTTTTATGCTCCAGGCTAACCACTATACCATTTGAAACACAGGTACCCTTCTGGTTTTTTGCTGGTTGATTAGAAATAAGAGTCTTGTCTACTTTTTTGACCAAACTGTGATCCTGAGGTGTCAGCCCCCTTAGTATCTAGGATTACAGGTATGAGCAAGGGGTACCAGGCTAAATTTCCTATTTTCATAAGAATAACAGTCATATTGGATTAGGAGCTTCATCTTAATTACATTTGAAATTACCCTGTTTTTAAAGTGAAGCTCTGTGTGGGGTGTATGTGTGTGTGTGTGTGTGTGTGTGTGTGTGTGTGTGTGTGAGAGAGAGAGAGAGAGAGAGAGAGAGAGAGATCCTCAGATCTCAGCCTCCTATGTAACTAGGATTATAGGCATGAGACAGTGGGGCCCAGCTTTGGATACTAAATCTCCCTGAAGCTTTGAAGAACAGGAAAGTTAGGCATGCCTTGACAAGTGTGTTAGATTTGAAATAGAAAGATTTAGCCAGAAGAGTCTGAGGTTATTCTGAGCATAGTTCATGTGTGGACTGCTTGGAAATGTACAAATATTCACCTATGGTCATCTGTTCTTCAAGATTTTTTTTCCACCCTACCCGTATTAGAAAGTCAGGAATTAGCAACTAACACCCTATTATAAAAATAGTAGCTTACTTTTATGTAGCTTTTAAGTATATTTTGAAAACATTTTTATGCATATCATTTGTCCATGAAACTGTGCTTTATTTTAATGTAGTTATTTTAATTGTCACTTTTAGAAAGGTTATGTGACTTTTCTCCAGTCATATAATCACCCTTTTTCTAATTCAACATTTATTTAATTCATCTTCTGAAAGGATGTACCTGTTTTCTGTGAAAGCAGGAATAAATTTCTAGTTGAGAGATATTCTGGAGGCTGGGAATATAGCTCAGTGGGAGCATGCCTAGCATGCTCAAGGCCCTGAGTTTGATCCCCAGTTCCAAGGAAGAAAATTACAAGTGTTTTTAAAGATTTTTAAAGGTGTTTGAATGAATGTTTACTGTTTTATTTTATATAAAGATAATTTCAGTAGCTATGAGAGAACTTTAACAGATTTCCACACATTGACTTGTGATTGTTCTCTTAGATGGAGTTAATTTAATGCCTGTTATTTACCCAGTGGAAACTATGTTTATATATTTTCATGCTAATCCTTTAATCTGTTTCACTTACTATAAATATCCCCTCCTTTTTAACATTATTTTTTTACTGTTTTTCACTAGTAAGTTCTTAAGTCTGTAGTTCATTTCTTTAAAGTTAAGAAATTATTTTCCTTTAATAATTTGAGTACATATTCTAATCACTGTTTTATAAATGAAAAGTACGGAAGCTTATAGAGTCTGTCAAGAGACTATGTGACTATGACAGACTAAGTCGTCTCTGAGGCACTGTGTAAGCCAGAGATTTAACAGCCTTTTCAGTAGTCTTTCCTCTAGGATAAGTCTTAAGGCCTATTTGCAAAGAAATGATTGTGGAAGAAGCATAGCTATCAGTAACGACTATATAACTACCCTTTGTATCGTTTGTTTCCCTTGTCCTCAAATTTAATGTAGATCTAACTCTGTAAGGTTCAGTCTGTACATATTTGAGTGCTACTGGTTGGTTAGTTAACTTTGAGTTGGATGTTTTAATGTAGTTTGACCTAGGTAGTATGTTGTAACCAAACTTAAATAAACTATGATATATATAAATGCTAGGGCTAAATAAGACTGAATATTAAGAAATAGTTCCAATTAGAGGATATCGTGAAAATCCATTTGTTATTCTATTAACTGAAAAATGAAATCATTTTCTGTCTGGATAAATTTGATTTTGTGTGTGTATGTATGTGTGCATGTCTGTTCACGTGCACATGTGCTCAGATACTGGGGCTTGAACTCAGGTCTTGTACTCTTTTTAAAAATTATTATTGTAATTTTATTATCTTTAAGTAGTTGTACAAAAGAGTTACAACTGAATGAGAGGGAAAGAGGGAACAGTTTATACTAAGCACAAGGAAAGAAATGTAAATATCACTTGATGTGGGAGAAATAATTGTATTGTCAAAGCTCATGACAGTTTGCCTTGTGAAGATTAAAATGTGTTTGTAACTTTAACTAAATATCACTATTCCACAATACTGTGAAATATGTGAAATTTATGTAATCACCTAATCTCAATTTAATAAAAAGAAAAGAAAAGTGGGAGAAGGGATGGGTTTGGAGCATTGGGGGACAATGTTATCAGATACTTTGTACTCATATATTGTTTTGTAGAATAGGAACTTCTTTGTACAACTATAGAAAGTCCGTTTATGACTACAATGCATCTTAATCAGTCTCATTTTCTATCTCACCCAACAATGCCCAATCCCACCCATTTTTGGTCTGAGACTGGGACTCAAACTTGGTACCTAATGTTTTTACTCATTGGCTAGCACTCTACCAATTGAGCCAGCCACAGCTTCAACCCCTCAATTTTCCTAGTTTCATACACACACATACATACACACACACACACACACACACACACACACAGAATATTATGATTGCATTCTTTTTTTCCTTTTTTTTTTTTTTTTGTCGGTTGTGGGGCTTGAACTCAGGGCTTGGGCACTGTCCCTCAGATCTTCAGCTTAAGGCTAGTGTTGTACCACTTGAGCCACAGCACCACTTCTGGCTTTTTCTGCTTATGTGGTGCTGAGGAATCGAATCCAGGGCCTCATGCATGCAAGGCAAGTACTCTACCACTGAGCCACCTTTCCAGCCCCTTATGACTGTATTCTAACTCCCTTCTTCTCTTCAGTGGATTCCTTCCCTTTGAGTTTACCCCCTTGCTACAAATTTATTTAAATTTGATGTATGTGTGTGTGTGTGTATACGTGCACGTGCAGGCACACATGCTTGCACACACATGCATGTCCTATGGCTTGAACTCAGGATCTGGGCACTCTCCCTTTCCTTTTTTTGTTGTTGTTGAAGACTAGAGCTTTACCACTTTAACAACTGTCTTACTTCTGAATCTCATGGACTTTGTGCCCAGACTGGTTTCAAACCATGATCATCAGACCTCAACTTCCTGAATAGATAGGATTACAGGCGTGAGCTACTGGTGCCTGGTCTAAATTGAACACTTTTTTTTTGTTGTTGTTGTTTATTGACACTGCTTTGAAATAACCATAATAATAATTTCCATCATTGCTTTACCAACCATATCTTATTTGGGCTATCTAGCTTCAAGGTAAAGTTATTAAGAGAAAAATTTTCTGGAAAAGATTTCTTTTTTTGGGGGGGTGGGGGGGGGGGTCTGGTCGTGGGGCCTGAACTCTGGGCCTGGGTGCTGTCCCTCAGCTCTTTAGCTCAAGGCTAGCACTCTACCACTTGAGCCACAGCGCCATTTCCGGCTTTTTTCTTTTTGCTTATGTGGTGCTGAGGAATCAAACCCAGGGCCTCATGCATGCAAGGCAAGCACTCTACCACTGAGCCACCTTCCCAGCCCCTGAAAACGATTTCTTAAGAATACAGATTTTAAAAGGAACTGTGTTCAGTAGCAAATCTGTACTACTTTTGAAGAAGCTGATATTTAAAGAACACAAGATACTTTGATACCTTGATATTTATTTAGTATTGAATAATAAAATCTTTTTTTTAAATAGATTATCTATCTCAAGGAATAGATCTTTCTGGAATAGAAGTAATAGAAAATGATCTACTTTTCATTGCAAGAGCTCGACTCGAAGTGGAAAATCAGGCTAAGCGTCTGCTCGAACAAGGTGTGGAGACTCAGGTAACTAAAAAAAGAAATCAATTTTTTAATTTTAAACACGGATACAAATGACTATCTTTTTAAAAAATACAGTTATATGTGACTATATTATATCACTGAAGAGCTATATCTGAAATTGCATTGGAGAAGTAGAATGTACTTAAGTATTGGAAAATTTATTTGAACTATTTTGATATTTTAATTCTAAAGTAGGCACAAAGATTTCTAATACATAATGTGAAATCTATTTTCATGTGATATGTGTATGTAGACAGTAATAACTGTGGAGTATGTCTGTTTTGTCCAAGACATCCTTTCAGTAACCCAATAAGGTTATTACTGTTATTGTATTTTGTTAAAGACAAGAGGGCTAGTAAATGAGATTATTTGGATCCAAACTTTAATGGTCCTAGCTCTGGAAAATTGAATCCTTAGCCAGTGCCATACTTAAAAAAAAAAAGAGTTGTGATTTCTTCTAAGGTATTGTTTCTCCATGCTCAATTTTCTGAATTACAAGAAACCCAAAGGTGTTGGTATATTCAAATCAAATTAGGGATTGGGAATATAGCATTTGTAAGGCAGGCTCTAGTTTTGGTTTGATTTCTATACAAGAAAAAAAAATAGAAAAACAAAAATAAAACTCAAAAAGTAAAGTGAAATTGTGTCATTTCTACATTTGTATTATACTGAATATTTTGACTTAAATATAATTATCAATATTAAGGATTTTTTTCATATTTTTAGCCAGGAATTTCATCTTGTATGTTTTTATTGCACAAAAATAATATTATTAGTATTAAACAATATTGTTAGTGTTTAAGTACTATTTAAATCAGAAAAGTGCTTATTTTATGATTCCTCCTTAGAATTTTTGAAATAGACTATTATTTGTTATATATATATATATATATATATATATATATATATTACTTCATAAAAAGTAAACAAATGTATGTATATAGAAAATGAAATCAAACCATAGCCAGAAAAAAATTATTACAGGCTTTCCTAGAAACTCAGTTCTCCTTTTTCCCCAAAGGTAAGCTTTACCCTACCTAATAATACTTGAAGTTAGTTTCATCTCTTTAAAATTTGTGCCAATTATGTTTTAAATTTTTTTTAAATTGTCTTTATGAGGATAAAAATTTTATACTCTTTAAAAGTAAGTTTTCCTTTTACATTATAAATGAGAAATACATTTTGAGATCCTTGAAAGGTAGGAGAGAAAACTCTTAAAGAGACTGTATTTGAATTAAATAGGAAAGAATAGTTTCTTTCCTAGGGAGTGACTGCTTGGTTTGAATTTGTACCCTCCTATCCTATATATATTACACTTTTGGGGGATTTTAGACTGGAAAATAACTGTGATTTGTGATTCTTTTCTTAATGTGGTTGCTTTCACTTCCTAACACCTTTGTTTCTCCTATATATTCATCTAAGACTTAGGCAGTACTATTTTCTCTTTAATTCAAATCTCATAACCCTCCTGTTATCAGTGTCACAGAAGAACGTATTTTCATATATTGAATTCACAGTTTCATACATATTGCTCCGAGTATGAGTTTATTACCCTAACATTCTTAATTTTTTCTCTTATATTTTTGTGGTTCTGGGGTTTGAACTCAAGGCTTTATGCTTATTAGGTAGTTACTCTACTGTTTGATCCAGGCCTGAGAACTTTTGAAATAGGATTTGCCTTTTTGCCAGGACTGGCTGGACCATGATCTTCCTTATTTAGGCTTCCTGCATATCTGGGATGATAACTATACCACCACAGTCATCACATTGTTAAGATGAAGTTTTGTGAACTTCTTTTTTTTTTGCCTGAGTTTGCCTTGAACTATGTCCCTGCCCAATTTGTGTAGCTGGATAACAGGTATACCCCACCATACTCATCTACTATTTCAGATGCATTCTTGTGAATTTTTTGCCTGAGCTGGCCTCAAACCACTATTTTTGCCTGTCTCTGCTGCCTAAGTAGCTAGGATTATAGGGGTAAGCAGCCAGTACCTGGCTTATTCTCCCCTTCTTTTAGATCTGGTTCCCACTATCATTACTATTTATTGTCATGATTAACATTTGGTCATGTCTCTCCTATCTCATTCTTTGACTGTTGTAGAGTCCTAATTTTTTCCCTGTTTTTTCCCCTATTCTGATTATAACACATAATTATTTTATTCATGTAAAACATGAATCTTTTATTCAGAACATCTGTTATCTTTACTACTAGTTTTCTATTCTGTCAACCATATTTCTGTCCTCTTTTCTGGGTCTACTCTTGTTCTATATTAAACTGATTTAAGAGCTGGCTATTTGTTCTATTTAGTGATTCATGAACGTTAGCATGCCTAAAAATTTCTAGAAGGACTTCTTAAAATGTAGATAACTGAGGCGTAAAGTCCAAAGTTTCTGACTCATTTAAGTCTGAAATAAGGGACCACTACCCTCAATGTTACCCTCAAATTCCTTTACCCTTGTGTTTCTACTAAGTCTGCCCAGCAGTATGGCCTCTGTGGATCATTGAACATCTATCCCTGTTTTTGCTTCCCTGCCAAGGCTATTCAGTGTTGTTTAAAAACAAAACAAAAACCAGACAACTGCAAGATTAATATAATTAAAATTTATGGTTCTTAAATGCAGCTGGGATCTCATTACTTTTTAATATGACCAGATCCCTCTTTCATTTCACAAATGGCTATTTCAAATCTTCTTTTAAGTCCAGTCCTTTTTTAAAATTGACATATATAATATTGTCTCACTCCTGCAAAGAAAATCAAGGCCATGAGACATGAATTTTATTCAACTTCCTGACAGCTTCATTCTCAAAGATGCAAATTCATCTGATCATTTATCTTCCTTACAAAAGTCTAATTTCATGCCATCTTTAAGATGCTAGTCCTGAACTTTGTCTTCTGCTTCTCTAAATCTTCAGTCTTTCTGCTTTTAGCAGCATACAAAGATAATCAAGTTCCTCCCACATTTGAAGACTTTAGCTGATTGTTTACATGGCTGCTATTCTAGTCTCTTTACTTCACATCAAATGATTTGGAAGAATGCTCTTACTGTCTCCATTTCTTGACATTCAGGTAGCCCATTTATTCTGGTTCCTAATTTCTACTCATAATCTACATTTAATTATGTCCTGATTGACCACCAAATTTCTCAAAAGATGATCTTTTTTGCTTCTCTCAGAATTTTCACTTCGGTGATCCATTCAGCTTCTTGGCACCCAAATATTCCCTGATTTCTTTTTCTTGTATTTTTTTCCTTTCATGACATTGCTTCCCCCCCCACCCCCCCCCCCCCCCCCCCCCCCCGCTTCATTTCCAAACAACTTCTGGCTACTTTAATGTTTGTGCTTCCTATTTTCTGAATTTTTTTACTCTAAATAATTTTCATTGATATTATATCTTCCCATTTGCTGATAATTTTCAAGTCTCAACTTGAGCCTCAATCTGGGCTTCTTTTCTGAATTTGAGATTCATATATATGAGTGCCTCAGGATGCTTGCATTTGGTTAATGTTTGCTTACAAACAGCGGAGTCTGGGCTGGGAAGTTGACTCAGTGGTAGAGTGCTTGCCTTGAATGCATGAGGCTCTGGGTTCCATTTCTCAGCACCACACAAGCAGAAAAAAGCCAGAAGTGGCACTGTGGCTCAAGTGGTAGAGCGCTAGCTTTGAGCTGAAGTGCTGGGGGACAGCACCCAGGCCCAGAGTTCAGGCACCATGACCGACCAAAAAAAACAAACCAACCCAGAATCTACTTATCTACTTAGCAAATTTTAGTTAACAGGTGTTCATTATAGGCTATAATATGGAGAGCTCAAGGAAAAGCCATAGTGTGTGTGTGTGTGTGTGTGTGTGTGTGTGTGTGTGCGTGTGCGTGTGCGTGTGCGTGTGCGTGTGCGTGTGCGTGTGCGTGTGTGTGTGTGTGTGTGTGTGTACAGAGAAGCATCGTGAACCTAGGCAATTTGGAAGCTACTTTAGTCTTCAGAGTTGGACAAGTTGGTCCAGTATTACTCTTCTGTGTGTGTTTGACTATTTTTCCACACAGTTGATTACTTCCAAGCCATCTGGCCTCTGATAGGATCCAGATCAACAAAATCAATTCCCTCTTTTCTGCCTTTTACTCTCAGAAAGCTTAGATGTAGACATTCAAGCCTGTTAAAACAAATGGAAAAAAAATCTACATACTTCCATGACCAAACTTAGAAAACAACAGAAGTAGGAGTGGTATAGCCTTTGCCTTCTAAATGTCAAACGGAGCTGGGAGTGTGGCTTCAGTAGTAGAGTAGCTGCCTAAGAAGTGCAAGTCCCTGAGGTCAAACTTTAGTACCAAAATTTAAAAAAAAAAAAGTCACACAGATGCTACTGGGTAACAGAACTTAAGTTTATATGAAACTTATTACATAAGATTCTCAGACACAAGAGCAACCTTCTCAGAATATTAAGAAATGTAATTGTCATATCTGTCTGTCTGTCTCTTCTATGCTCATTAGCTTCAGTAAAGCAGCAATATCCACCTAGAAAACATAGGAGGCCAGCACCTGCACTTGCTGCAGAGTGGGATAGCAAGTAGAACATTCCATTTCATTCATAACTGCAGATTCTGCTGGGGAGTAGAGCAGTGGAGATTTGTAGCCTCAGGCAATATGCAATGCAAATGAAGTCCATGACATTGTTCCATTATTTACAAAATAATGAGTCAGGGAAGTAATAAGGGCCAATTTCCTGTTTCTTGAGTCCTTATTAGGTAAAAGTAGCAAAGGAGCTCTCTGGAGTGTCTTTTTAATAAGGGAACAAATCATATTCATAGGATTCTATCTTTATGACCTGATTACCCCAAGTACCCCCCACTTTCCTAATAGTAGTCATCCATGACTTTAGGATTTCCACTTGTAAATTTGGAGAGCCAACACCAGTATTTAGGCCAAACCAGCTTGCTAGATCATTTTACTAATGGGAGAAAATGTACCAAGGTGCTAAAACTAACATTAAGGTTTAATTCACACAATTTACTG